TGTCTAATTCTTCGGCTGACCAATTTAGCTAAGGTAAATAATTATATTTTTTTTAGCATGGCATTTGTCGTAAAAAAGCTTTAATTGCCGGAATTATAAGGATTCGAAAACTTAAATTTTACAAATTTCGAGAAGCGATAATTTTTTTTCATGCTAATCACCTCACTGATGAATTATTTGTTGACATCTATAAGTTGCTAAAATTTCAGATTTCTAGAACATAACTTCTAATTGTAAAGTTTTTATATCTTTATTGGCCATTGTGTCATGTCAATATTCAGTTGTTCTCTTTTGCAGTTGTTCTGAATTTAAAAATGTTTTTGGTGTCGACACAATAAATAATCGAAAAATGGCATTTTTAGGATTTTGTGGGGTTTATAACTTTCCAAGGGGAGAGGCAGATAAAAATTTTCCTCTAAAGAAATAAATTACTAGTAACCTATTAAATTTACTAAATAGTGTACCTTACTCTATTTGTGTCTACAATTTCAGCTTTCAGTTTTAAAAAATGCAAACATTTTCTAGATAAACACGGGGACGAAGATAGTAAAACTAATAAGAACTTTTTGTCTAATTTTTCTAAAAATGATCGTAACAATAAAAATTTTTTATCACAAATATCGTGAATTGGCTTAAGTTCGTTTAAGCCTAGCAGACTTCACTTACAAAATTGTTTTTATATTGTATATTAATAGTATATAGCAGGGCTTCTTAAACTTTTTTATATAGCGACCCCCTTCAAGCTTAGGAAATTTTAAACGACCCCCTCCTCCATATAATGAAATATATATGAACCGTAGATGTAGATGTAATATCGCACTATTTTAAATGTAAATAAAATAAGGATTAAAGAATACGTACCCATTTATTTCACATATAAATAATTGGAAACGTTGATGCGATATCGGTCGTAATAAAACACAATAAATAGAATGACATAAAACTATATCTATATATTCAATAGAAAAAATAAATTTTTGTAACAATTTTTTGACCCCCTTTCAGTAGTCTCGCGATGTAGTCCCCTTGGGATGTCGACCTACAGTTTAAGAAGTCCTGGTATAAAGTATTCGCCTTAAATTTTAAACGTTTGTTAGCTAAAAAATAATAAACTTTCTAAATAATAGAAAGGTGAGACAGTAAGCAATGATCAAGAAGCAATGTTGAGTTATAGTACTACATTATTATAAATATTATAAACAATTATAAATATAATTTTAAAATTTATAAAATATTATAAATATAGTATTCTTTCAGTTTTTATTTTAAATTCAAAAAAATAATATCTACTATTATTAAAATCAAATTAAATTTTAAAACTTTAAATTAAAAACATCCAAACGACAGAAACTATTTTAATTTTATGTAATTTCTCTCTTTTTCTTTTTTAGAATTTCCAGAGAAATTCCAATAAATTTCAAAATAAAATAAACATTTTTTTCAGAATAATTAATTATTGGATTAAATAAAATTTACATTTCCTGCAGGATCATTAATTTTATCACACATACACAAAAGTTCCTTGAATTAGTAATTCCTGCTACTCAAATAATATGCTTGTACAATAATTATTGCATGTTTACGTTAAATATTGATATTATAAAAAGCCAAGTTACTATATAAGTATTGATATGTATACTATATTTATATATGGTACATTATATCATGTTATTTTTCATATGCATATAATTTATACTTATATAATATGAAATAGGTTTATATTCATTACAAATATGTACCTATAACAGTCTCGTTTATAATATAATTTTTTACTGATTATAGAACATTGTTATTTACCTGTAAAATTAAAACCATTTTAATGAGAAAAGAAAGTGATTTACATTTATTTAAAAATAATATAGCAAAATCAAATAATATAGGTACATATGTACATACATGAATTTTGTTAATATTAATGCAAATATGTATAAAATATATGAGAGTGTCTTGAACATTAATATCATCATAATTATTCCATATAATTAATTTGCTGAATTACATTCAAAATGCAAATAGTATACAAATATAGTTGCCATTATTGTACAATTGGTGTTATTACCTATGTAGGAAAACAAAATACGTAGCATAATTCAAATTTTTTATTCAGAGAAAAGTGCGAGAAGGAAAGGAGTACGTAATATTAAAATTAATCGATATTATATTTTTTCCGATCACATCGCATAAAGTCGCATTAAAAGAGAGGTTGTGGCACCAAATTTCACATTGATCAGCCAATTTCCTTGAAATTTCAAATTTTAATTTAGATTGCTAAAGGAATGAACTTGTAAATTAATTGGGAATGTCAGGGCTCGAAAACCGAACAACTAATTGATGGATTTTGTTGAAATGTAATATGTGAGTTCGCTTTGCTACCGAACGTAACTCACGAACTTTCCAGAGAATTCAAATGGCACAAATTGAAACTCTACTAAGAACCAAATTGACATTTTTCTAAACTAAATTAGGATGTTAACAAAAAGCTTACTAACTTCCATAAAATTGAGAAGAAAAACATTTTCATAAATTAAATATTTCTGTCCGATAATTAATAACGCATTCAACTATACTAACCAGCTTTTCAAAAGTTGATATGACAAATTTTTTTTTGCCATATTTCAGAAAGTTGATGTCTGCAAACTATTCTAACAAAATTTGGTACAAATATGGGCATAATTGTATAAGTTCTTTTAATAGTTGACCTACAAAAAAAAAGTACATGATTTTATTGTATTAAAATATACAAAATGCGATATCCAAACTTCATGCGAACAAGTTTAGTAATACGGATACCAATTTCCATATACGAAATCCAAAAAATGAGAAATTGCATAAAATATTGTAGAAACAGTGTTTGGCATTATACTTTAATATTACTAATTATGGTTGTTTTTATTTAAATTTCACCTAGTCTACTTTTTCGGCTTTATGATTAACACAAACAGTGGAATTTTTATACTCTGCTTTGACACTCTATTTAAATGTCATAAATGAAGATTAAGTCAAATTAAAAAAATTGCATACATTTAGGATGAGGAAATATAACAGTTAAATTTACGAAATAATTTGGCATAAGTTTTGGCTTAAAGCGGTTATGATAAATAAGTTTGTATAATAAGCAATTGTGTTTCACATTCTAATGTTTCTATGTGGTATGAAAAATTGAAGTTATTAAGCAAAATAACATAAAATTTTATTAAAATATGGTATGTTATTTTTTATTAAACTTTTATCAACTTTAATGAATTTCTTATATAAACTAGTTTTTATAATATTTATGAATTGAGATTGTTACCAATCGCATTGACTACAATAACGAAGGTTAAGTGATGGCGTCAAATTTTGCCAGTCGAAACTGTTTTAAAGAGATAATTACCGGTGTGTTAGTCTGTCGGCTTGCGGGTATTTCAGTATGTCTGTGTATTTACTCGTGAACCTCAATTTTGGCTTAATCGATTTCCAAGAAAATTTATAAATGACTTTATAATTTGGCTATATCACGCTTCACGGATTAATCAATTTAATGGATATGTCAGGCTTATAGAATTCTCCGGTTACTGCGGGCCGAACTGAACCAAATAAACATTTTTCTAGGTATGTTGACTAAGAGCTTACTAGACCAAATACCTTGCGGTGATCCTTATGTGCTGGTCACATCAAACGATTTTCATTCAAAGTAGAGGTGCTCATATATTTTAGATACAATCAATAATACAAATTTTATATAAATCTTTAGTTAAACACAAACATTATTTTGAAAATGCATTTAACGTTTAGAGAATTCCTTTGCAAAGTAATGAACTGTAGGATTTTTAAAACAGATATAGCTTAATAATGTTGTAATGTTAAGTATTACATATATAATATTACATTTTTTTAATTAATTGGCATGTAAATTGTTTGTTTTATAGAATTGTCTCAATAATTTTGCATTTGCTTTGGATTAAATTTTTGTTTTCATTTTCGAATTTTTCTTTAAATAAATAATTTTTATTCATTATAAAATATAAGGTGTTGATCTTAACAACACGTTTAGCAGATTTATTCATGCCAAATTTTTTGTTCGGTATTTACTGAGTGAGGTGCATCTTTACAGTTCAAGGTTCATTACTACTTTTATAAATATTAAGTAATTCGTATATAAATATATAAATAAAACGTTTAACAAATACAAAATCCATAAAACGAAAGCTTAATCATTCAAATTTTAGTTTCAGCTTCTTGAAAGTGGGATACTTTACTTTTATATTATTGCTTATTTTGTTATTCTATCACTTTTATAAGATAGCTCTAAGAAAACGAAAAATTTTTACTCTACACAGTGAAAAAATTCTGTATTAAAAGAGTGACAGCAACGAGCTCGGAAATAACAAGCTGTGAACGGCGTATGCGCAATGGCCAGTTTTGTAATTTAGTTTAGCTATCAATTATAAACCAATTAACCAATTAAATTATGATAGTTCAGTTATAAAATATAAAATTGAGCTGGTTTTTTTCAAAGTGATATGTGTCCATTTTTCCATATATTTAGATATTTAAGGGTTTGCTTTTGAATCAATTAAAAAATAGTGGCAATAATAACACAATTTGTTTATTTTATGTCTAAATAGAACTTTACTGAAATTTTGATTGTAACTGTGAGAGATGGTGTCTATAGCTCAACAAAATTATCATCAACTTAGTCTTCTTAAAAAGTGGACTTATACCACTTTCAAACAAACCTGCTCAAATGCTAATAATTAAAAAGACAATCAATATTTCGGACAGCACTGTTTATTCTTATTTTTTTAAATTTGGATTTATTTTTTTTTTTTTGTGTTTGTTTTTTTTTATGGTTTTGTTTTAAACATAATTTATAAACTTTAAACACTATTTATAGCTTTTATTTTATATTACATATACATATATGTATATATACACATAAATTTGAACATATACGAATTATTACATAATCATATATATATTACATAATATGTGCATATACATATGTATTTTACTTATATAAATTTCATTATTATTAATTACATTTATTTTAATAAATTTTTTTCTCTTTTTTTGTTTATTTTATTTTATTTTAAATTTTAACTTATTAACAAATATAATTTTATTTTATTTAAATTTGCATAACTAAAATAATTATTAGAAAAAAATTAAAAAAAAAAAAAAACAATTACTAAATTAAGATAAAAAATTTGTTTTAATTCATATTTAATTTTATATAATTTAATTTAATTATTATTTTTTCTTTTGAATTTTGTTGTTGTTAATTTTTTATTGAAAATTCATTTATTTCATCCTCAGAGTTTTGGGTTGGTTTTGTTGTTTATCATACACACCTTTGTTAAATCATTTTTATTTTTATTTTTGTTGTTGTTTTATTTTTTGTATGTAAAATACTTGTACTTTTGATGTTATTAATTTTCTTTTTCATTTGTTTTCTCTACACTCTTCGTACAACTTTCCACTTTAGCATTCATTTCAATATCCGCACTCATCTCTCTTTCTATATACTTCGCATATTACGTACTTATTACTTCTCAATTATTTTCTTTCTCTATCTAACTTATTATTTTCTTTCTTTTCTTACTAATATTTTTATTATTATTATAATTTTTTTTTTTTGTTATTTTTGGTTTTCTGTTTTTTTCTTTTGTTTTTGTTTTCCTCTTTATATTTTCTTTCTACAGTTAGTTAAAGGTATTTAATAAATTTTTGTTTTTTTCTTTTTTACTTAATTTGCACAACTTTTCGAGGGATTAATTTAGCTATCTTAAGCTTTTCTGGATCAAATTAAGTGAACCAATTACTGTTGAACTGAAGCTAATTACTGTAAATGTGAAAGTTGTTAATTTTGGTATTACTCCACCTTTTACTACATTGAATTTAGATTTAGATTCTGCTGTTGTTGATTGGTATATTGTTGTAAATGAAGATGATGATGACGATAATAATGATGTTGGTGATGATGTTGATAAAAATGATGAATTAAGTTGATTTTCATATGATGTTGATTTTGATAAGGATACCGATAGTGATGATAATCTTGATACTGGTATTTCCGATGTTTTTCCCTTTTTTATTGTTGAAGGTAATAAATTCGTTAAATATTTTTCCAATTGCCAAAGAAAACTTTTCGGTATTGATGCTGATGATGAAGTTACTGAAAAAAAAAATAAAATAAATATGAGAAATATAAAAAAAATAAAAAAATAAAATATGTTTATTAATTATTTTTGTATAAAAGCATAAAAGAATTTTTATTCAAATTTATTAGATTATCGTGCAATATATGTATATAAAAATTTTTATATACATATATATTATATTATAACATTTACAATATAATATACATACCACAAAAAATTATGGTTATATAATAAGTTTCAGTTTTTGGTTGTGATAAAAATTTGTTTTACCAAACAAATTAAAAGTTTGATTAAGATCTAGTCTTCTGTGTAGATCAACAGAATGGATTTTTGTTACAATATTATTATGATTAAGGGAAATTTTTTAATGTGGTAAAATAAACGAAAAATATATAAATATATACATAAACTGTATTTTACAATATAGATAATTTATACTCAGGCAACACCTTCATTCTATGTACATTGTTCCTTTCAAATATATATGAAAATTAAATTTTGCAAATGAAAAATTTGAGTGAACTTTGTACTGAATTTTAATATTTATCAATCAAAAATTGTTTAGGGTTAAAGCTTGAAAAATAACAATTTTTGGTTTATGTCTCTAAAATTTTGGTTCACTATTTTCAAGCCCTTATACTATGTATACATAGTTATAATTTTCAGTTTTTCCTTTTTTCTTTCTTTTGAGTAAAATTTTGAAAATTTTACTTTTTTTATTAATTTGAAGTAAACATTTTTCTCATTTTGATTTGGGATCTTATAGGTGAATTAATATTTTCCTTCCCAATTCTGCAAGCATGGCATTACAGTTAAATAATTGAATTTTAATGGTACTAGAACAAAATTAATTGAATTTAAGCTCATAAATTTTACAATGAAGAATGAAGATAAGTTAAAATATTGTTAAAACGCATGAATAATCAATGCTTAATCAAATACCTACTCTGATTTGTTTATTTCAAATTATAGTAATGCAATTTTTACCTTTCTACATTTCATGTAAGAACTATGATATTTGATAAGTGTAAACTAAATAATTTTAATATTTTTTGAATAATCGTTATCAATTGGAATTTAATAATAACTAGCCGCAAAGAGTACATATTGCTATTTACATATTTTACTAATATGTATAAGCACATGTTTTACTAATATGTATAGGCATAAAATATATAATGTAAAATATAGACACGTACTAATTTATTAATTACAATAAATTAATTTTTTCTTATTTCATAATAAATATATTTTATATTAAATTAAGATGAAATAACAACTATAAGGAAGAAAAATTAGAAAAGGGGTTAGAAAACTTTTCATAACGTATATAATATAATAATTATAAAAGTATGTATTTTATTGAATTTCAATTGAAACCAATTGAATGAAACTTTTGAAATATTTGAAAGGAAAATTTAATAAACATGTTTCTGAAATATTAATTGCTAAAATGCTTACAATTTATTATAATAGTATTGAAAAATCCTTTCATATTAAAATATAACGTATAATATAATATACATATGTATATACAAATAGAATAAAAATGCTAACCGATATATATATGAGTAACATTAATAAACGCACAATAAGTAAATACATTCTCATAGGTCCAAGAAAAATAAACTTTTATTTTTTTATATTCCCATATAGCTATATATACATATGTACATATAAAAGGAATACGTGACCTTATAAATAATTAAAAGAAAACTTAGTTTTCAACTATCATACAAAAAGTAGCATTGTATACAGAACATTATTTTTTTTTTATTTTAAATAGTCTATACAAACTAATGATTGTACGTATTATGAATGGCTTGAGTTAAAGTTAGTTAAATCCCATGTTACAAAAACTTTTCAAAATAAAATTTATATTATATGTATATGTACGCATATATATATATATATATATATATATATATATATAATTTAAGAGAAAAAGAAATCAATTGAATATATTGCTTTTATTGTCCCACTGGATACACATTTACTAGATGAGATATGAATAAAAACTTATACTTCCATGGAATCGATAAAACTTTAGTTATTTCTTACTTATTATGGGGCAATACAATACAAAAATATAAAATAAAAAAAGAAAAAATATAAAAAAAAAAAAATTAAAAACAAGAAGTTAAAATTAAGTTATTTGTGAAGAAAACTTTAGTGGGTTACAGATTCGATTTCGATGAATAGATCAAATTTATTTATAATTTCTATTAAAGCTATGGGATTTGTTACGAGTACATTAAGTTTTTCTAATGAATTGAATGAATACCGTTTTGTATTCTATATTTTTATTAAGCATTACAGTTATATTATAGTACAGTTGCATTTGTTTAATAATATACATATAACAGATATTTTATACGTTATTGTCATTTGATTTGATTTATCAGTAAATTATACCTACAATTTTACATAAGTCTTCAATTCACCTGTTATTGTTTATTTTGCAAAAATGAATTTTTAAAAACAAATGTTTATGTGTTAATTAGACATTAGTTAAACTATTTAAATTTATGAGGCAATACAATATAACACTTTAATTATTAAATTTAGTCAATGAATTTAAAATATTTACATCGATAATATTACCTAGTTGCCTTTAATTATTTTTTAACACTAATTAAGTATATGAAGGAGTGGGACTTTTTTACAATTATTTTATTTTCATTCATATTCATTATTACATACTCTATGTATAAATTTGTATTTGCAATTAAGAAGTATATGCCAACATAAGTTTTATATTCGAGTTAATTTTCAAAAGAATTATGTCAATTAAAAAAAATTCGAATGAACGATACCAAAGTATAGGAAATATTTAAAATTTATTTATTAATAATTACCCCTTGCTGGAATTGGATCCTTCTGAACTCCACCTAATTCAATTTCAGAAAAATCTTGATAAAAATCATCAATTTTGGATGAACATCTTAATATTAAACTTCCAACACCATTATTATTACCATTATTATTTGAAGGATTTATAAAATTTAAAAAATTTCCACCAAAATTTGAACTTGAATAAGAATTTCCAATATGATTGTTTGATATAAAATGAATTCCTTGTAATCGTAATTTAATACTAATTTTTGTCACAAATAATTGATCAATGGTGTCGATATTTTCTGTACTTGTTGGTTGTAACTGAAATAAAAATAGAAAGGCAAGAAATATTATTAATAATTAAATTTTTTTTTCAACATTAATATATGTAAATAAAAATATAATAAATATTTCTTTGTATTATCTAAAATTTATTAAAATACGCATTATTTTGTAATGGAATGTGGTGTTGTTGTTATATTTTACTAACAATCGCGAGACATGACATTTTTTTGCAATGGTTTTTACAATTAAATTTTTACACGTCTAATTTCATAAAAAAAATATCTTTTACGTCAGAAATTTGTATCTGACATGAAAAATAAAAAAAAATTCTTAGTAAATTTTTAAAAGAAAAAATTAAATTTCATATCTTCCTTGAAAATTTTTCTTTGAAAAACCCAAATTTAATTTATAAAATTTTCCTAAAACAAAATTAAATTTTGTGTTGGAAAAAAGTTTTCAGGAATTTGGACAATCGTGTGAAAATTTTTTAACATACAATTGTACATAAAAATTTGATTATTAAGAATTTCAATATTCGGAAGATTTCATAGTATTTTTATTTGTCGAAGCATTATAAAGTCTAATGTAAGCGTTAATTCAACAGAAATGTGAAAAGACATTGGTAACGTAATTTAAATTTCAAATTATTGAATCCTTTTTTAATGAATTGCATTAAGAGAATCATGATGATAAATTCTATTATAAAATTATTAAATGTAAGCAAGTAAGTATGATCACAAAACTAACAAAATTTTTCTGCTTGAGCTGCAGAACGTTATATTATTAATTATCGTAGCGATAACACTATAATTCAAAATTAAAATAATCATTAGATTATTATTTAATTATTATTAAATAATCATTGCAATAATAATTCTGATAATTTTCTTAAAGCACGAAAAAAATAATGTATTTAGAAAACACCCTCTATTCAAAAATCTTCTAATCATAGAAATGTTAAAAAATTTTTATGATATGGTACCCGAGAACGCCATATACAGACATATGTACATATATAAAATGTGGGAACGGTCTGATGCATGGAAACTTATAATTAATTTTTTTTTATGAATTTTTCTAGCGAATCAACAATATTTTTAAATTTTGAACGTCAACTGTTAGAAGAGTATGTAGGATCAGCAAAGTTAAAAATTTTAATTGATTTTCTTCACACAACTAATTTTCAACAAACAAGTCACAACTTTCATTCAAAAATGGAAATTATTTTGATCTACTCTCTTGGTGTATTGGTCGCATTGGATATAATATGTATATTAATTATCAAAATATTTACATATATATGTTTACCAGAGTAAACATTTTTTAAATTGAACCTTAAGATTTTTAAATCTAAATTTAAAGTTGCCTTTTTTTTAATAACAAGTACAGTAAATACAATTTATTAAATGTATGTTAACAAGGATTAAAAGAACATAAGAACATGTGTCGCAATTATTTAATATCTTACATACGCATATTTCCGTTCAAATTAGTTTCCTAATAAAAAAATCTTACGAAAAGAATTTATTTGACAAAAATTTTTAATGTTATTTTTTTCTTCAATTTAAAATTCCAATTCCTAGAGAAAAAAATTTAAATTTTAATTGAACACGTGCTCTTTCTTTTTTAAATTTCATCATCATCGTCATCATTGCCATTTTCATTACACTGAATTTGTTTATAGCTAACAAATTAATAAAAATGAAAATAAAAATCAAATAATTAATCAAAATTGTTATTCGCTGAATTCCGGAAAGAAGAATTTCTTCGTAATTTTTCATATTTTAAGTGTTACAGGAATTTATTCTTTACAAAATTATTATTATATTATTACTTTAGGCTGTATTTTACTAGTAAATTTCAAGTCACGTTCTATCTCATTTTATTAAATTAAAAATTTTTTGTAGATATTATTTGTCTTTAGTTAAATTTTCGTAGCATTCCAATGTTAATTTAACTAGTTATTATAAATTTAAGTTTTCGTTGGGGAATCAAAAATATTATTTACTAAAATATTATGAAACTTGTCAAAAGCGAAAAAATTGCATATTTATAGGATGAGTGAAATTTCAAAAACATTCAAAAATCAAAGCGCAGAGAGAAAATTGTTCAACGTTTTTTGCTGAATTTCTCATTAATTTATGTGTTAATAGTATTATGTATTTTTGTATATGTATGCTTATTTATATTATTCAATACAATTTAGAAAATTTGCAGTAATGAACAAGAATAATTTGAGTAATGAACAATAATTTATAAGAATATGAAGTAATTTACAAGAATATGTAGTAATTTCGTAATTAAAATTTTCATTCCTAATAAATCCAAAGGAATGGTATATACTTTGTATATTACGATTAACTGGCGGAAAAAATATGTCATATATAATAATTATATAAATATATAAATAAATACCTGTACCACACCATGCATCATATAGTCATGGCATTTAAATTTTGAACAATAGAACGAGACAGAAAATTCTATTTAATAAAAAAAAAACAAAACTTTTTTTCTTATAAAAATATTTTTCATTAAAAAACTAATGAGCTTTCTGTTCCGGTAGATTTCATGATTTTACACTTTTTGAGGGTAATATTAATTAATAAAATTTCAAGAACTTGACACATTTTTTGACAACAAATGATATAATTAAAATTTTGAGAATATAATTTATCTTTTTTATATAAAATATTTTTAATAAGAGACAACTTCTATGTTAAAACAACTTTCAAACAACAGTTAAACTTTAACCCTCCATTACTTTTCATAATTATTATTTCCTTATCTTTGTTATTATAATCCTTGTTATTGTTTCACGAATTCTTACTATGAATGGATTCCACCCAGATTCTTTTTGAATTCACCTAAACACTTAGTTATACATTGAATTAATAATATTAGTATAATAGGCCCAATACTTATTATTTAAACAACTAGACATTGAATTAATAGTTCAGTAATCCAAACACTTTTTGAAACCATACTTTTCTTATATGCTAAAAGCTTGCCCATAAAATCTATTTAAAATTATTAAAAAATATTGAAAGAAATGCAACACCAAATATATTATGCAGAACTTATTTTACGAAGATATATTGATATATTTAGCATAATTCGTAAAAAAATTTACTTTTAATTATTTTAACTTCAATTTGGTAGTTTCATTTAAGTTGCCTTAAGAAATCTACATACATATAAATTATATGGTACTGAATTAATATGTTTGTATTTATTTTATCTTTTAAAATGTTACAAATGTAAAAAAACAAAAAAAAAAAAACATTCTTGAAACTGGTTAAAATCTTTTAATGCTGGGTGCTAGTGTGAAATAAGTACTTTTTAAAGCTTTTGTAAAACACCTTGATTCATTTTACTATAAAATAATTTCTTATATTTTTCTTACTTAATGTGGAAGTATGAATGAATCTCTCGATTATACTGGTTCCTTTTATATTTTAATTCACTGCACATTTAGGTGAAATACCGTTTCTCATTTCCTTTAAATAACTTAAAAATAACTTAAAATTATTTTTACGACGTACTTCTATCCTCTTCTTATTCGCTTTTACTTTTATTACTTTCGGTTAACCGTACTTATAATATTTTGTAAATTTTCACTGTTATATTTTCATAAACAAATCAAAAGGAAGTTTATTTTTAAAATTGTGGAAATGAAAAAGAAAAAATTTTTTTTTCCAATTTCTTTTTTTTTTCTTTCAGATTAAAATGAGGAGGATGAATTTAACCAAAAACCAAAATCGTAGATTTAAAAAAGAAAAAGGAAAGTTGGAAAAAAAATATACTCTCCTTTTTTTACTGTCTCTTATTTCTTATTTTTTCAATTTCAGAATTTTCCTATGGATTTCGTACTCTTCGTTTTTATTTCCATTTTTCTATAATTCTTTTATCTTCTATTAAAAAGAACAAACTTTTGCTTTGAACTGACTGTTGCAATTCTTTTTTTTACTATTTTTAGTAAGTTTTTAAAGCTAGTTAAAGTATGAAATAAAAGAATAACGAATAAACAAACTTTTACCTGGTTTGTGGCCACAAAAAAAAAAAAATTTTAAAAAGCAAAACTGAGAAAAATTTTTTTTGCTGGTAAAAAATATAAATAGAGCGGGGAAACATAAAAAATGTAGCTTGTGGAGAGAAATGGTATAATAAAAATGCGATTCATGTATTACATACAACAGTGCAGCTAGGCAAAGGCAAATATAATTCGTTCTCCCACAATGAAAAATACGGGAACGGTAGAAGAAATATTTGATTGAGAGAAGAAGAAGTGGAAACAAGTACGTATTTCAAAATATAAAAGAAGGCAACATGATAAAAATAAATCAGTATAAATAAAATGAAAGAACAGAGAAAATATTAATTTGTTTTGTGGTTACACTCACTGATTACACATGCATATTTATTTACTTAAGCTGCTACGCGCTCTAGTGGCAATACACTCGGTATTGATAAATTTTTAACCTTATATTCTCTTATAAATTAATTAATGATTTGCAAACTTTTTTATCTATATTATACAGAGGTATGTGTGTCATTAAAATTTTAAAGAATATTAAGGAAAATTTTTCACAGTTTTACTTTTCCTGATCATTTGAGTAAAATCGTAATATTTTATTGAAACAAAATTAATTAATATTTTTATTAAACAACTTTTTTTAATTTTTTTTTTTATTTTATATTATGTATTTTGGGTCTGAATGCAGAAAATTATATTAGCACAAAAAGTGCTTCAGTTGAATTTCAAAGTAATTCTATTATTGAAAGTTTATGTAAAAAATTTAACTAAATACGTATGTATTAACATTTGAATATTAATTGGACTGATTTCTGAGAAAAAAAAAATGTTTTAAACGTACCGAAGAATATACAAATATAGAAGCTATGAATTTAATTTGGATAAGGTTGTTAATATGCTTCCGAATGAATGAATGATTAAAAATTATTTAGAATTAGAAAATTAAATAAAATTACTAAAAACAATTTAAAGTGAAATTTATTGTAATTCATGTTTATCA